AACGTCCTCTCGATTCCTTTGTATATCTGGTGCATGTGAAGAAATTGACATTAAAGCTGACTTTGACTTTGACTTTGATTTAATAATATTTTTTTAAGGATTTTAGGACACTGCACAAAAGCACTGTCTAAAGCTTAATAAAAGCTTGATAAAATACAATGGAAAACTATAGAAAATAACTGAGAATTGGGGCAGACCTCGTCTTTTCTGGGAGTTTGTTCTAGATATGTGGTGTTTAAAACTGGCTGCTGCTTCTCCCTGAAGTCCTCGAGGACCTGAGAGGTGTAGATGCTTTATAACAGAGCAGCAGATCAGAACTATCCGTGTATACTGTAGGTTGAACATCTCTGCCATTACTGTTATTTAATAATGATATACATACATACTTTTCTTTTACTAACAAATTCAAAATATCTCGATTATTTTATCACAAGATTCAGTCACTTGCTATTCTTTTATCTGTTCGTTCAAACAGTAGTCTCACCACTAGATGGCATATGAGTTCCATGTTGCATTATTCAGCATGTATCTAGGCTAAATTGGGCTTTATACATGCATAAGGTTATTCACAAATAATGAACACAGTGACTTTTTGGAAAGAAATAAAGCATCAGTTATAGCAGCAAAGAGATTCATACTGCTGTAAGCGTATTTTTAGATAGATTGTGATTTGGGGGAGTGAGGCACTATGAAATATAGAGCAATGGTCCCTCAAATGCTCATTTATACAGTAACACTGTCTCTGAGATATTAAAGTTTTCCTTGTATTCACTGTCGTGCTGCTCCACTTTTGCTGTGGGTAATGAGAGTGGTGATTTTAATTCATTTCTGTCCATGATCTTGATCTAATTAAAGACTTCATCCCTGCCACCTCATTTTCATAAGCTGCTCCCTTCAATTACATCTGACAAGTGAGCAAAGACACACATTAACCTCCTGCATGAAGAGGTACTGTGCTTCCCTTATCTCTCTGCGATCTTAAAATAACAGAGAGGGCAATTCAAAGGTAATTCCATGTCCTTGAATACACCGTTTTGGAAAACACATCTGTGGATGACAGAGTACAGTATTACCCATATACAATATGTTCCTGTTTTCAGTAACAGATGACAAGATAGGGCCATGCAATGCCATGTTTTCCAATGTGTTTTGGTCATATGTCTGACTGTGGCCAAAGTCAGCTGTCACTCATCCTTGTTTGTTAATGATTTCAGAGGGGGGGTGGACTTGATCTACAAAATTGATTGACTTTGCTGCTATTAAAATTGACATAACATCATAGGTAGCACTGCAGGCTTGAGACAGTGACAGTCGTGTCAGTGACTACAAAATGAAAGTACAATGTGACGCGTTTATGGAGTTTGGTTGGAAATTTTCTCTACAGAAGGGATAGTTTGGTATTTTGGGAAGTATGCTTATTTGCTTACTTTCTAAATTAGCTGAGAAGATTCATATCAAGGAGCCAAAGCCAGGAAATCACCGCACTATGTCCTGCATTTAAATCCCTGTGAAACTGCAACAAATTTCCGTTTGTGTGGGGATTAAACAAAAATGATGAGCTCCATTGGGTCATTTTTAAATTTTGGACAGAGTCAGGCTGTCTTTTTCCCCTACCTCCAGACTTTATGCTAAGCTATGCTAATTGCATCCTGGCTCCAGCTCTTTACTAAACACACAGACATGAGAGTGGTATTGATTTTTACACAAGAAAGCAAATAAACATATTTCCCCAAAGTGGAACTGTAATCACTTTGTTATTATTTCAATTAAATCTCTACCCTTTGAAATACAAAATTTGAAAAGACGTATTTTCTGTTAGTCTATAATAATTGACTGTGGTGCTGGTTATCAGCAGCACAAAGCAGAAGAAAAGGGCTGCTGACTGCTGGCTGATGTTTTCTGGAGCTAATGAATGAGTTCTACTCAATAACTGAAAAATCCTGGCCTTTCTTTTTTACACATTTAAGTGTATCTTCCTACTCTAATTAATATGTTTTAGGAACATTAACTCAACAGCTGTGCCACTCTCTTTTAATATTGCATGTAATGTGTTGGTATAAGAATAAACTAAACTGGTCAATAACAAGAATATAAATGCAAAGTAAAATGTCCACAAGCTAAAAGGAGGATAGAGATATTCTACCAAAGTAAAATATCAGTTAGTTTTGGCAGCGTTTTCTTCACCTCCACCCTGAGAAGTTAGATAGCACTAGGGTCAGATGTCATGAGCTGCTTCCCTCTCCCAGACCTCCAGTGGGCTTGAGACGTCCAACTCCCTGCTCAAACAGACACACAAAGAAACAGTAGCCCACATCCCCCGCGCCCCATACACATTATTTATGAATGTGAGTGGTGCCTTTCCCTGCCCTTTTGTAGTTTTGGAATGTGAAAGATAGATCGATTTAAGAAGGGAACACAGATGGCTCTTAAGGCACAAAGCAGTACATAGCCACTCAGAGGAAAAGTGAGCTCTTGGGCAATTAGTGTCATTATGGCTGCTCATGTGCTTGGTGGGCTGGATAAACAGTGACTGTGGTGGCAAATGGTAAGGCATTGGGGTAGCATGGGTAATGATGATCGGAGCAGTTTTACAGCAGAGTAAAAACACACACACTTAACAATTTTAAACAGATGATTGACAGAATACAAACAGTTTCTCTTAATAAGACCAATAAGAAGGAGGGAACTAAGTGCATCAGGTGTTATAGAGATGCAAATGATGCTTGATTTTAATTAATCAAATAATCCTTTATATAAAATGTCTGACTAACAGTCACACACAAACACACATGCACATAGCCTATTTATTCCCTGACAGCCACAGTGACACACATGTGACAACAAGGTCAGGTGTGGTTGTAAACAGCAGCGAGACAGTAGTCTTGCTGAGAAATCCAACTCATAGACCTCTGGGGAAACCCACACTCTGATTTTGTTGTCATTGTTCTGAACCTACTCTGTTATGCTACATGCTTACACTTGCATGTGTGCGTATGGGTGTGTGCGCGCATGCATGTGCCTGTGTGGGAGTGTGACATCTACCATTCTCTTCTCATTGCCTAAGCCACTAGTTATTGAGAAAACAAATGTCAGTTGAAGGGCGTTGTCTGTTTGGTGTCCGCATTGAGAGTTAGTCTTTCCTTCCGCTACTTGGAGCAAATCTAATTTGATTATGAGCACCAGTGAGGACAGGCATTGAGGGAGAGAGTTTATTGGA